TAAAGATAATAATCAGCATTTAGTTTCAGATGAAATGTTCTATAAAAGTAAAAATAATTTATTGGACATCTATTTATGCATTCAAACTCGATAAATAGAATATGAGTATTTCAAATCTATCTCATAGATTATACAATATAACAGTAAACTATCATGCCATTCGTATAAAATAAAATCAATCTTTAGTGTCTAATTGGAGAACAATCAGATGAACCTTTTGATTTCATAAGAGAATCAAAGCAAACTGAGCACTTCTTCAAAATCAAACACACTTGACTTAGATTTTTTAAGTATCTATAACACGAAGTATGATAGTATTTCGAAACTCTGTCATCTATTTTTGATTGATAGAAAGATATTATAATTTGTAATTCAATAGATAATTATATTTTGTTATCATGAATGTGACAATGATTCAAACAATTACAAATCATATCTATGTAGAACAATATTAATTGAGAACAGTACATCCTTATTTATTAGATCAATTAAAACTAACAGGGTTTTTAGTAAACTAACACAAGGTAAATCATTGTTTATCATAACAACACATTTCAATGTAGTCTTTTCCCAGTAAGAAATAGTCATCCAGTACACGTTTCTTTTATGTTTCTTTCTTTTTCTTTCATTTGTATGTTGCTATGATGTTTGATGTATATAGAAGAAGAAAAAATTAACTGGAAAGTCTTTTCGATTTTTTTTCAAAAGAGAAACGATGAAAACAAAGAGTTTGTGAATACATCTAACTTTGTTGTAATCATAATAATGCAAACTATGTTGCTTCACAATAAAAGGTTACTTTTTTGTGAATAGAAAAGTGCATTTTCATGATTACATTAGAAAAAATATTGAGCAGTCGATGACGTCTTTTCTTTCATCTAATATTTTGTTGAAAAACAAATTAAGAAAAACTATTCTTTTAAAGCTTGAAAGTATCAGGCACAACTACGAGATATATAATTGTTTCCAATAAATAAATATTTTGTTTTTTCTGCTTCAGATTCGAAATATATTGAATTATCTTTTAAACAATATAATGCACATAAAAATAATAATTCAAATATTGAATGATAATATAATATTCATTCATGAATTTTATATAAATTAACATTTATAAATGCTAGTTTATCTTCTTAGTTAAAATCAATATAAATTTGGGAGTATTGATTATATCTTTTGTGATTATGATAAAGAAAAAGAATTCTAATATTAGACATGAAGAGATTTGTTTATCATGTACTATCATTTAAGAATAGAATTAATAGTGATACGATAAATCACAATTTCTCTCTCCAAATGTTCATTAGAATTTCGAAAACGCAATATTCTGTTATCAAAATATTCAATTAATTGATCGAAGATCTTTTGGAATAAAAAACTTCATTCATTATAATATTCTAGATGTTGAACTATACAATTATTTATTTATTGAATTAATAGAATAGATCTCCGTCAATTGATGTAAACAGCTGATAGAATTAAATGTTAGTATTCAAAAGAATTCTTTGATACAAATATGAAATAACTCAAATATATACGAAAAGAGAAAGGCATTATTTTTTCTATTTTCTCAAAGATTTCATAATAAAATAAATGAAAAAAGATATGAATAATCTATATATTTAAAATTGTTCTGAAGTCAAAAAAAAGTTGTTAGAAATAATTTCATAATTTTGAAATTACAAATAGATTTTCCGATGAGATAAGTAGAGATACAGTACAAAATATAATATGAGAAATCAAAAGAAAAAAATTACAAAAACAAAGTATTTTATTGGTCTCAAAATCAAGAAATAAAGAAATGAAACGGCAACAAATATTTTTCAATTAAGTAACTGCAAATTTATTTCACTGGAATTGAGTAGACTTTAAGTTTTCTTGTATTTTCTGCGTTTCGACGAACTTCAATCGTAGTGATCGTTTTTATTCTATATGAAATAAATGATTATGGGGTAAAAATAAATTAACAACAAATCTGATCAATCAATTTGAGTGATTGGATTTCTTCAGATAAAATTTAACAATCAGATTTGTTGGTAGTGAAAACATTTAGACATGCTGTCAATAATATTTCAAATTGAAAAATATGAACAACAAATATTACATTATACTCTTTTGTTGCGACATTGTAGAAAGGCAACATCTATCAATGAAAGAACATAAATATATGACTTGCACATGTTTTACTTGCTGAAATATTTAAAGAAATAGAGAAAGATGTAAACTCATTCATTTAATTTTTATTCATAAAAAAGAAATGTCTATCTATTAATACTATTTCATTTTATTACTCTACGATAAAATAAGAATGTTAACTAGGGTGGTTGTGGATATTGATCATTTCTCATTCGCATCCACGTTAATACCCTTCTTCACATTTGCTCTCTCATTCAGAATCACCCACACCTTTTTCGTACAGACAATTAGTACAAATTACGACTATCACTAAGAAGAAAAAATAGCCCAACGTTCAGTTAGTTTTAATTACCACTCACATTTCATTATTAGAATCTATACAACATATAAGTGCTCAATGATTCTTTATTCGGATATTTACAAACGAAATTCATTTTGAATCTGAGCAACTAGATTACAATTTATTCATGATTACAAAAATATAATCTAATTATAAAATATTAAAAAAAAATATTTATGTCGTATCGTGTACCAAATAACACATTGTTAATCATAAGAAATCAAGAGAACTTGTTAAATCACTTTTTGCCTTCTAGAATAAAAAATGGAATTACGTGAAAATATAATAAAGAAGAAAAACAAATTACTTACTTGGTTTAGTTGTTGATGCTGCAATAGCTTCTTGAAGTTTAGTTTTCAAACGAAGTATTTCTTGATCATGATCAAGTCTAGTATTTTCCATATCGACCATATATTCACCTAGAAAAAAAGAAATCAATGTATCTATATAAATTGTATTTGTATAAACTTACTTTTCATTAATGCAATTCTCATTTCATATTCACCAATTTTTTCTTTCGAAATTTTTTCCTGAATCTTTTTTTCTTCAATAGATTTTTGTTCTTCGTCAGCTTTCTTTTCAAGAAGACCAGTATACATCTGTTGTAAATCATTTACTTGTTTAGTTAATTGATCAATCATATCTTGATTTTCTGTAGTCTCATTATTCTTCTTATTATTATTATCAGTTGCATTTTTTACTAATTGTTCATTTTGTTCTTTTAATTTTTCAACTTCTTTCTTAAATGTCTCATTTATTGTTGTTAAATTTTCTGTCTACAAATCAAAAGAAAAACTATTAAATTTATGATAATATTTAAACTTACACGTTGATGAAGTTCATCTTGCGTTTGTTCATATTGTTGTTTCATATTCGTAATCTGTTTGTTTGCTTGATTTTTCTGATCAAGTTCACTTTTTAATTGTTGTAGTTGATTTATTTTAACTTCATTTTGTTGATTCAATTCTACAATTTGTTCGTTGAATTGTTCGAATTTTGTTTGATATTCATTGATTTCTTGTACTTTTTGAGTCAATTCATTATTTTTTGCATTAACTATTAGAATAAATATTTAAAGAGAAAGAACGGAATAAAAAATACGAACAGTTTTCTTGTAATTCGATGTTTTGTGTTTTCAAAATTTCAATTTGTTCATTAAAATCTTCATTTAATGAACTCATTATTTCATTTAGATTCTTTTCATTCGATTGTTTTTCGCCTTGTAAATTTGCTAATTCAGATTGAATATTTTGATTTTGAATTATAGAAAGTTCTAAATTTTTTTGATATTCATCGATTTGTTGTTCATATTGTAATTCACATTGTTTGAGAATATTTTTTTCTTTCCGTTCTAAGAATAAAAAATTTGAATTTGAATACAATCGAAAGAGAAAATGACAAAAATTAACCTCTTTCTGCTAGTTCATTTTGAAGTTTTTCAAAATCTTGTTGTATTGTATTGATAGTTTTATTCAATTTATTGTCATTCGTTGCTTTTTCTTCTTGTAATTTAGCTAATTCAGACTGAAGTGATTGTATTTCAAGAACAGATTCATCTCTCTTGATTTGATAATCTTTTATTTGGGATTGATATTGAGTTTCACGTTCATTCAATGCCATATTTTGAGAACGATCTATAGTAGAAGATATAAAACAAAAGTTAACAAAGAAATAAAACGAGTCAAACCTTGATTTTGTAATTCAGTTTTAAGTGTATCAAGATCATGTTGTAATGAAGTAATTATATCATTTGATTTTGTTTTTTCTTCTTCTGATTTTATCAATTTATCGTGAATATGTTGAATCTTTAGATTAGCTTGTTCTAATTTATCTTGATATTCTGTAATTTGTTGATCAAAATGTGATTCACGCTGATGTAATTCCTTATGTACTTTATGTTCTATAAAAAAAAAAGAATGAAATATATATGAAAATATTAATTAACCTCGTTCATTTAATTCATCTATTTCAATTTGAAGTTCTTTATATTGTACTTCATGATCTTGTTTTAATTTATTGATATTTTCGTTTAGTTGAGTTTCATTCGTTGTTTTTTCATCATGTAATTGACTTAATTTAGTTTGTAAATCTTGTATTTCAATAAGAAATTGATCATTCTTCATTTGATATTCTTTTATTTCAGTTTGATAATAAATTTCACGTTCACTTAATGTTATATTTTGTGTTTGATCTATGAAATAATAGTAGAGTGAAGTTAAAACTAGATAAAAATCTTCAAACCTCGTTTTTCTACATCAGTTTTATATATTTCATAATCTTGTTTCAATTGATCGATAGTATCATTTAATTGTTTTTCATTTAAAGCTTTTTCTTTTTGTAAATTTTCTAATTCTGTTTGAAGATTTTGAATTTGTTCGTTAGTATGCTCAAGATTATTTTTATATTCTTCAGTTTGTTCTTTGTATTTTAATTCATATTCTTGCAGAGTCATATTTGCTTGATATTCTATGAATAAAATTCGGGTTAATAAAAAAAAATATATGAAAAGATCTATATACCTCGATCATTTAGTTCATTTTGAAGTTTAGCTAAATCTTTTTTAAGTGTATCGATGATGTTCTTCAATTGTTGTTCATGGCTCGTGTTTTCTTCTTGTATTTTTATTAATTCTACTCGAAGATTTTGAATTTCTCGAGCATCTTGATCTATTTTAATTTGATATTCCTTGATTTCTATTTCATAATGAGCTATACGTTCATTTAAAATTATATTTTGTGTATTATCTATAGAAATAAATACAATAGAAATAAAAGAAAAAGAACAATATTATCAAACCGTTATGTTGTATAGTAACTAATTGAGTATTCAAAATTTCATATTGTCGTTCATGATCTTGTTTTAATGAATCAACAATATTATTACATTTTTGTTCATGTAAAACTTTATCTTCTTCTAATTTTGCTAATTCAGCTTTAATATTATCAGTTTGACGAGTAGCTTCCTCTAGATTATTTTCATATTCTTTGATTTGTTGTTCATACAATGAATCATGTTGATTAGATACTGTATTTACTAGATGTTCTATAAAGAAATTTAAATAGAATATAGATGAAGAAGAATAACTAACCTCGATCATTTAATTCCATTTGAATTTTTTCATAATTAGATTTTAATTCATTGATTAATAGATTTGCTTTACTCTCTTTTAAATCACTTTCTTCTTGAATATGTTTTAATTCAGTTCGAATATTCTCTGTCTCACGAGTAGCTTGATGAATATTATGTTGATATTCTTTTATTTGTTGTTCAAAATATGTTTCTCGTTCACTAAGTGCCATATTCGCAGTACGATCTTAGAAGCAAAACAAAAAAGACATGAAGATGTTTTCATAAACAACAAAGAATCTATTCACCTCGATTTTGTAGTTCTAATTTAAGTATTTGACATTGTTTTTCTAGATCAGGAACAATATTTTCTTTATGACGTTTTAATTCATTGAGTAAATCATTAATTCGTTTATCATTTGTTTCTTTCTCTTGCTCTAATGATGTTAGTCGTAGTTGTATCTAAAAGTTTTGTATAATAATATCGAAAAACAATCTACTAACGAGGAAACCTTTACAGGTGTTGGTCTCGGATTCCAATTATCTTCCGGCCCATTAGCACTATGTAGTGCCCCAATAAAAACCCTAAAAGGATTTGAGTAGCTGTCCATCCCTTCAAAGGTTATGGTCATTTTACTGACTTTTCGACCTGGTCCTGGGTATAGATCGGAAAAAACCTGAAGAACAAATTTCGAAGTGAAATTTCGCGCATAGATAGATATAACGATCTTAAGAATATCCTGAAAGTTTCAGCCAAAAAGAACCTTCTGTTATCGAAATATCGAATTTTTAAAATATACTCGCTTACCGCGGATCGGTCATAGGAACCGAGTTCACTTGAAAATTCGATATCTCGATAACAGAAGATTCTTTTTGGCTGAAATTTTCAGGATATTCTTAGGATCATTATACCTATCTATGGGCGAAATTTGTTCTTTAGGGTTTTCCGATCTATATCCAGGACCAGGTCGAAAAGTCAGTAAAATGGCCATAACCTTTGAAGGAATGAATAGCAACTCAAATCCTTTTAGGGTTTTTATTAGGGCACTACATGGTACTAATGGACCGGAAAATAATTGAAATCCGAGACCAACACCTGAAAAGGTTCCCTCGTAAGTTTATCTTAATATAGCATAGTATGAACAGCTCCTATATACTATGAATATCAATCCAGTTTAATATAGAACCTCTACTATGTTTAATTTCAATGTCTCCTTACATTTTGTGCTTCCTTAGTGATTTGATTAATCTTTAATTCATAATCTTTGATTTGTTGTTTATAAAATATTTCTTTTTCTGTTAATTGTGATGTTGTATATTGTTCTATAGATTAAAATAAAGATAAAAAAATGAAACTAAATTTTAATATAATTATAACCTTGCATTTGTAGATCTGATAGTTGTGATCTGAGTAATTTTATTTCTTTTCTTAATTCATCAATAAGGTTAGTTGTTATTTTTTCTTGTGCTATAAGTTCATTATGTCGTTTTAATTCTTCTTGATATATTTGTTTTTCATGTAATAAATTTTCATTAATTGATTGAAGTTCAGTAAGTTTTTCTTTAGTTTTTTCGTAAGTAAAAATTTCATTTGGAGATAATAGACGATGATCATCAGGAATTTTAAAATGATCTTGATTTGATTCGGGATGTTGATATTCTTCAAGTTGAAATTGTAAATCTTCTAAACGTTGTGCTAATTCAAGTCCTTGAATCGTTAAATTTTCATTTTCATTTTCTTTTATATCATGTTGTTGTTGTAATGCGAGAATATTAATTTCTAAGTCATTCATTTTTTCTGTAGTATTTGAAAGTTCAGAATGATATTTATTATTTTTTTGTTGTAATTTTTCGATAATATTATCTTTTTCTTCAATTTTCTTAAGTAAGTCTGATATCTGAGTTGATAATGCTGATTCTCGGGCGATAAAGTCTGCAGATTCATTCGATTTTTTAGTTGGTGATCGTGGTGGAAAATGATTTGAATTAATCGATGAGTCCGAATGTTCTGATAAATCGGAATCTGGACTTGGTGAATCTTGATCTGGTCTTCGTGGTTCTTTAGAATCAACAACAACTTTTTCTACATGTCGTAGAGGAGCAAATATTCCATAACGATGTGAACATCGAAAGTATCGTACTCCTTCAATTTTACCATTATGTTTACCCAATGGTCCATCTAATTTAATACCACACCAAATACCTTCATTCACATGGATTTTACCGATATATTTTAGTGTACCAAATTTCGTTCCACGAATTGATACTGAATCACCAATTTGAAGATCTTTTATATATGCATCTAGTGTATCAGATGGCGGATGTTTTGATGGAGTATTGACACGCTCTTCTTCTGCTCAGAAAGATAGAAATAAATATTTTTTTATAAATCTAAGAATTCGTGTTCAGATAATTAAACTACTGACATTCGAAAGTATAAGACTTAGTTTTTGCTTACTTACACCGATAACTAGCATATTCTACATATCTGTTAGGTAATCTTAAGGTTAATTATATAATCGTCTAATGATACTCTTCTCAGATATTCATATTTCTATAGTTCATTAGTAATTTATACCTATGAAAGATATTCTTGATTTATTATATGGTGGAGTTTGTTGAGGAGTGTCAATCGATAAAAGAAGTTGAACTTTATCTGCTCGACAGAAAAGACCACGATTAGCTTCAGTTTTAAAATAGCGAACATCTCCGTATGAACCATCTAAAATAAATAAAGATGAATCTTTGTTTGAATATACTTTTATCTGTATACCATTCTTCCCTTGAGCTTCATCAAGCATAATTCCTATCCATTCGCCTAATATATAATATTCGATTAAATATAGAACTAAATGCTTAAAATTAAATAAAAACCTTCAGCAAATTGTGTTGGACCAATATATGCTACTACTCCTGATTTTCCACTTGTAGTAACTCGATCAGCAAGTCTAAATGGGTTATTCGACCGATCATTTCCAGTGGGATTTGTCTGTTGAGAAGTCGGTGATTTTGGACGTTGACGAACAAATGGTTTAATTGCTGGTAATGATGGACGATTAGTCGGTATTTTACTCATGTAGAAATCTAGAAAATATTCCCTAGATCTAAGTAAATAGTAAAGCTTTCATTCAATTTGAGTTGAATATACGTTTAATAAATGTAAATTGATTTTATAAATCATAGAAGTAAAGTTATACAATTCTTGCTTGTTTACATTTTGTAATATCTCATGGCTAGATACGTATTATAATGAAGTAATCAACAATTTTTTTTGCGAGCAAAAGAACATTTTTGAATGTCAAATATATATATATAACCAAAAAGATATTCATTGAGCTTTACGATAATCAACAATCAATAATGAAAGAACGTACTCCAAGAACAGAAGTCATGAACAATTCTTTATTATGTATCGATCCTGAAATGACTGACTAAAAGAACTTTACGTCAAATTCGCTTTTAGTTCAGATTTATATCTATTCATAATCTTACAGAATTCTTCAGTATTATTCATCGTTACATTATCGAAAACTGTTGATTTCCTAACAAACAAAAATCAAATATCACAGCAATGAGAGCAATTTGAGCAATTATATATTCAGCTTTTGTTTTCTCTTACAGTTTTTCCTACAAACTCAATCATAAAGTTGATAGTATTGAATCATCGTAAGAATATTATTACCGAAACTGAAATAAATATAAAATTTGATATTAATTTCATAATTACAAATTTTCAGTATACAATTAAACAAAGACAAATTACAAACATATATAACAAAATAATTTAGACGAAAAAATAATTAGTTATATAATCTGACACATAACACTTTTTTTGATTTGTGAGACAAAGACGAATAGATTAATACTATTCACAGGAAGAAAAAAGAAATTAAATAGTTTGTGGGCTTTCAATTCTTTGTTCATTATATCCATGTAAGGATATAATTTCTATTGATTGAAGTTGATCTCTTAGTTGTGTCTCAATTCGACAACTACTCGGACGACATGCAGGATTTTCTAACCATAATTCTTCTGATTGTTCAAAAATATAACTAAGAATCTAAAATGAACAAAAATAAAATTCTTTATTAAAATTTTATACAATTCATGAGTATTACCGAATTATTTTTCCACCGAGATGAAGGTAATGGTCGAAATTTTTGTATACATACAACGTCATGCATTTGTTCAAGTGATGGATTATTTGGTAAAATATCTTCATATGGAAGTTGATAATCATCCGTATCATTTTCTACAAAAATTTAAATTGACTAATAGATAATTGATAACTTAAAATATGAACCTTCTGGAGTTGTTTGACATCTTCGTAACATTTCCCAAAAAACAAGTCCTAATGCATAAAGATCAGTAGCTTTATATGATTCAAAACTTTGATCATTTAATGTTTTATTTAAAATTTCCGGTGCCATATAACCTAACAAAACATAAATAAGTAAATTATTCAATTTATTTATTGAATTTTTCTTACGAATTGTGCCAGCACGATGATTTGCAATAATATCAATAACAGTCGGATTTTCTTTATCAATCTTTACTTCCCGTTTTTCTTTAACTGCAAGACCTAAATCTGCAATACAACATGATAAATCTTGTTTAACTAAAATATTTTTTGTTTTCAAATCTCGATGTGCCAATGAAACTTTTGCTTGAAAAAAACAAATTTTTATTTAATATAATTTTGTTACGAAATAAATTCAAACCTCTTGCTGAATCAATAGGTGTATGTAAATGAAACAGACCACTGACAATACTATGCATCATTTTAATCATTATTGGAATTGTTATTGTATGATTATGAAGATAATCATAAACAGATCCATTTGAATGATATTCAGTAGCAATCCAATGTTCAGTATAACCTGAAACATCCTTGAATACAAAAAGAAAATGAATTTAATAGATTGATAAGTGCTCATAATTTACTACGATCATCTAATTAAAGGAGAAAAAAATGTATTTACTATATGATCTGCAGTAATAAATCGAAGAATGTTGTCATGATTTAAACAAAAGGTTTCATAAATAAAAACTTCTCGCTGCCATGATGGTTCATCATGTGCTGGAAAGACTTTTATAGCAATGACAGTTTTGTTCATCCATTTACCACTATAAACACGACCAAAACCACCAACACCAATTTTTTTATCTAATGTTACTTGATTTGGGAATCGAATTGGTACTAAATCAGGAATACCTGGAATAAAAAAATTTCTTTTCATTCAATTAAAATATTTCTTTTAAATAATTTACTGCCTCTATCCGAACCAATTGATTCATTATCTGGATAAATATCTATCGTGGAATGTTTTGGTTGAAGACATTTATATTTTAATAAATGTCGTTTTAAATTTGATTCAGTCTGATTCAATGAAAAATTCCTTTTAAAATAAAGAAATACAATTGTTTTTTGTTAATTTTTTTCTCTATAAAATACATACTTTTTTCGTTTAATACGAAATAAAATAAATAGAATTAAACACGATATCATAACAATGCATACAGTGACAATGAATAATTTATATATAACTAGTAAATTCACAGGTTTATCTTTAAATTAAAAAAGAAACTGTCTATTTATTTATCAAGAATAATTCTTACAATTGAAGTTACTTGATGACGATAATTGTTTTCGTATATCGCTCGAATATGCATCACGATCATTACAATAATCATTGCCAGTACAACAAATTACATATCGATCACTTTTGTTACCATTACACCATAGTTGTCTCCACAAATAAGTATTAGACACACATCTAAAAGAATAAAATGTAGTAGAACAATTCATAAAATATATATATAATCATACCCAGCAGTGACATCGATCGTATTATCATGGAAGCTTTTCTCCCAAGCTTCATAACAAGCATGATCAGGATGTGTTATTTGACAAGTAGAAGATTGCAAGTCACATTGTGCATCACCGGTACAAAAACACGTTATATTAATATTTTGTTGTATACTATTATCATCATCAAATGGAGATATGATATCGTCATGGTTTCCTTGATTAAGAACAACGGATGAGATAAGAATAGCAAGAATAAATGGTTGCTTTATCATCTAAATATATATATGGATTTTTTTATGTAAAATATTTAATACTTTATATTTTTTTTATAAAAAAAAAACATTTTTTTCTTCTTTCTCATGTAATTTTTCTTGTCGAATAGATGAATAAAAAAAAATACTTGTTTGATTAATTCACATACTCAGAGTATTTACAGTAGCGATTCTGGGAAAGAAAAAATAAATATCGTGAGTATTTCGTCTTAATAAAAAAAAATTCTTTTTCTTTCTATACAACTTATTTTATTTAAAGATGTCGCAATATATTGATATGAATAGATTATAATTAATATTTACCTGTAGAATATAGAAGGATAAAACCAAGTGCAGACTAATGTACTTTATTCACATTGTGAGTTGAAGGTGATATTATTTTTTTGTTTACCATATTTTTGACTATCTCCACCTATTGATTGTTCAAATATCTTTGAAAAAGAATATAGAACTAATAAATTTAATCAACTATTAATCATATGGCACAAGCGAACATGTATATATGAAGTTGACGATACTCGGAATAACTTTGTCTAAAGATAAAAATTAAATCTACTGAATGCTAAACTATGCTGATGATAAACACTTGTGAGTGTATTTTTTATTTAGAATCTCGTATTCTCGAAAGTATTACTGCATCAAAATAAAAAATATATGGCTTCAGTCTAGTCAATTCTAATCCTCTATATTATTTTACTCACCTACTCATTTATCGAACGTCGTCATGAGAATAAAAGAATAATATCTGCTTTCAAAACTTGAAAATAATATGATTTACTTTTAATAAATGCGCATTATTACTAATTTTCTTATATTTTTATAATGTCATTTGCAATAAATAAAAATTTTTCACGATCTCATCGACATATCGATTCGGACAAAAATCATTCGACTTCATCATTTCTAGATTCATTTGAAAATCGTATCATATCTAATATAACTCAACGTACACCAATCATAATTCAAACTTTAACTAATCTTTGTCAAATACTCGATGATTATCCTTTAACTGAAATAAAAATCGACGAAATTCAACAGGGAACTATCGATTGTATATTATGGAATAACGATCATTCCTATCCAATTGCAATTAATCAAAATAAACAATTAATTCAATTTCGACAATCAATACGTAAATTTATTTATGAATTTCTTGAATTTGCACAAGAAATTTATACAATAAATGATAAAAATAATGATATGAATCTTATGATACAAAAAACAATGAAATATTTAATCTTATTAAATGATTATCGAAAAAAAAGACAACGTGCATATGATTATACATTATTAGAATTAATTCATGTAGATAAACAACATTTTCATCAATTACGATTTATTTCTCTATATTTAAGACAATTTTTTTTAAAATTAATTTCATTTATGAATTCAAAATAAATATCTACTTACTTGTGATTGATTGTATTAGTATTTTTTCGATGAAACTTAGGTACGTAGTTGCTCGTTCTTTATGAAAAATAATATTTTTATTGGTTAAGTAATAAATATATTCTACGACCTTCATTTACTTTTCATATCTATGATATTATCGATTACCTGATTGATTTGACATATTTCGATTTTGTTGTGATTTTCTCTAGCTTAACTGATCACGTTTATCAAAAAGGTATTTGTTTACGCATCCTTTTTTTTCTTTAAGAAAATATTTTTCTCATCAGTATTTTTACTTCCTTATTCATTTATTTTAAGTCTATGTAAACGAATGATTTTATACTTTTATGTTCTAAGTGGTAAATATATATATATAATCCTTTTATTTATACTAATCTTCTTTGTTCGTTTAAATGAGAAATAATCAGAATGATAAAAATGTGTCGAATCTATGATCAAAAGAATAGACAAATAAAATATTATATAGTGAACTATTTCTTTTTTCTCATTCAGTAGTCCGTGCGAATGACTAGTTTATATATGATGTGACCACGAGGTAATGGACAAGAACAGAAAAATTTATTGTTTGTATCCATATACATAGCGTTTAGATCCATTTTTCTCCTTCATTTTTCTTCTTTTTATCCACATGCGACGACGAACTGAATTTGAGAAAAATATGAGACGAACACCTCCATCACCAACGCCTCGTTTTTCACGTACATTCGATTTACTTTTGAGTCGAGTAAGATAAATTAATTGATAAAAAAAAAATCTTTTATATTTTTAAATCTTTTATTGTTAGTATTATTATCATCAACTATGTTTGTATTTTAGTTTCCTGATTCTGCAAATTTATCAGCGATTTCAAACAATACAACACCACCTGTAAGTCTTATTTTTCTTTGATTATTATCAATAGAAATTTTATATTTATTTTCCATACCTTTTTTGTTATCATAGATTATGTCATCGTTCAGAGGTAATTTTCAATCGGATGAAAAATCTGGATCAAAACCAGGACAATGGCGAGCACCCGTTTCAGCACCATTATGTGCACTTTGTAATAAAACTGTTTATCCAGCTGAAGAAGTCAATGGTGCTGGTCAAAAATATCATAAACTTTGTCTTAAATGCAGTATGATTTTATTATCATATTATTTCTATTTTCAATAATTTATTTATTTAGCATCATGCAATACATTACTCACTTCAGGAAGTTTGAATGAACGTGATAAAAAAATTTATTGTGTAGGATGCTATCGTCGTCAATTTGGTCCGCGAGGAGGTAAATTTTTATTGAATTTAAAAAGTTAATAATAATAATAATAATTTATTTTTTTAGTTGGTCGTGGTCTTGCAACTGCATTACCAACTGATTTAGATACGCCACCTAGTAGTCCAAGTTCACATAGAGAAGAAAATGATTCTATTAGTGAATTAAATAATAGTGATGATATTGGTTTTCATCGAGACACATCAATAGGTTCATCACCATCTCGAACTTCATCAGATGATGATTCACGTCATACTAATAGTTTACCATTTACTACTCAAGTAACAACAAGAGAAAAACCAACAACTATCAATCGACCATCATCAACTTTAACAAATATTCCAGCCTTCAAAATGATGAACATATCACAAAATATTTGTCCACGTTGTTCCAAAACTGTTTATTCTGCTGAAGAAGTTAAAGCTGCTGGAAAAGTAATAACAAAATATGACATATTTTATTTTATCTCAACATAATTATTGATATTTTAGTCATTTCATAAACGATGTTATAGTTGTGCTCATTGTAAAGGAAGTATAAGTGGTGCTC